AGAAACTTAAAGACTGGATGCTATAAAGGCATGGAGAGCAACTAGGGATACCAGAGACAGAGTGGGAGGAGGGCGGGGAATAGAAGAGGGTGAGAGGGAGGGAATCAATGGGAAAAGAAAGAAGAAAAATATTTAATGGACACAAAAATAGCAAATCATCTGTTAATGTGTGGTAATATCTTTGACTGATGCATATACATTGTATTCAGGATGAGAAAATGCATTTGGTATGCTGTAATGAAACAGTGCTTGAGTGAAAAATAAATAGTAAATTAAAAAACCTGAAAAAAAAATGATGCAATCCCTCCATCTAAGGAACATTCAACCTAGTGAGAAATAAATATAGTGAAGATTAAGTATAGAGTATACACTAAGCACTCAATAAGTTAGTTTTCTTCTCAATCCATTATTTGAATAGTATGTGATGTGATACTGAGGTTTATAAATTCAGGGAGTAAGGGCTTTTGAAGACGTCTTATACTTTTTTTGTGCTTTAAGGTGTATGAGCCCTCAGAAGACAGAAAGCAGAAAAAGGGAAAGCACCTCCCAGAGGCATGGTCACTCTGCAACCTCTTCTCTAGTTTCCTTTTGGGATTTTGGGCATGTGTGCACAGGTACCTCATGTGTTTTTCAAACTGCCGGGTTTGGGACTTGAACCACACAGTTGGGGCCATGTAGGATCCAGCTGTTTTAACCACCAAGCCACCTGCTGGTCCCTAGAATTGGTATTTTGAAATGAAATAATATTATATGGTATTTGAAATGTATTATATGATCCATTCATAGAAGGTGCCATCATTTCCACTGCAATAGCAAATTCAGAGTCTCACTAGATTTGATTCCCATGGTGCTGTGTTACTTGGAATAGTACATTGAAAAAATATTTTGAATAGATAGAGAAGAGTAATGGATTTGTGGATGAAAGCTTATAGGGATGGGCTGCAAATCTTTCAGGTGCACAGAGATGTATTTCTCCTCAAAACTGTAAGCTAGGAGGAGTGGTGAATGTGAAACAGAGCAACAACCCCTTAATGTATTTTCTAGGGTTCCTGAAATAAAAAGTCCATTTGCATTGTAATGGCCCAGAGTAAGGAGTAAGTCTTCAGACTTTGGTTATGATAATGACCAACATGGACCATGAGTGAGGACCATTTGACCTCTAAAACTCTCACTTAAAGGAAAGAAGGTTTTCATTTTAATATGTAAGATGTTTTGTAGACTGGAAACTGCTGGTCTTGGGCTCAGAGACTCCAGGCTGAATGGTTCCAGACACCTGAAGAGGAATTTGATTATCTAAGGCCTCGCCAATCAAGAATGCCCATGAGCTGATCACGCCCTCTTAAACCAATCACTGAACTGATCATGCGCCTGGGACCTCTGCCCCTAATTTTGCCCTTAAAAACGCATGTGGGGAACATCTCGGGGAGTCTGGGTCTTTTCAGCATGAGCTGCCCGCTCTCCTTGCTTTGCGCTTTGCAATAAAGCTGTACTTTCCTTCATCACACCATGTGCCTATGGCTTGGTTTTATAGCGTTTGGACAAGCGAACCTGATTTGAGTTTGGTAACAAATGGTCCTGGAAGCAGATCTTGCTTGCCCTGCATGATTAATCAAAATGCATGTCAGGCCTTACTCCTCAATCACTTAGGGAAGAACTTGCAAAGGTGACGCCCACTGGTCTTTCAAGCTAGAAGAACTCCATGTGTTAAGGACACAAAAACAGGGACCAGCAGTTAGCGTAATGGCTATGTCGCTGAACTCCCATGTGGTCGACCGTGGTTCGAGTTCCAGACCTGGTGCCTTTGATTCCCATGGTGCTGTGTTACTTGGAATAGTACACTGAAAAAATATTTTGAATAGATGGAGAAGAGTAATGGATTTGTGGTTGAAAGCTTATAGGGATGGGCTGCAAATCTTTCAGGTGCACAGAGATGTATTTCTCCTCAAAACTGTAAGCTAGGAGGAGTGGTGAATGTGAAACAGAGCAAGAACACTGGGCGCGTGTGTGTGCGTGCCCAAGATCCCGAGAGGAGAATGGAGGAGAAGGGATTGCAGCGTGGACATCCCCCCTGGGGGGGGGTGATTTCTCACTTTCTATCTCTCTGTCTTTCTGGTGAGTGCATGCGCCCTCTAGCAAAAATGTCTCAAAAAAAAAAAAAAAAAAGGGAAACAAAAACAAAGCCTGAAGTTTTTGTTTTTTTTTTAAAGAGATTTTTTTTTGCTATAAGGTGCATGCAATTGTCAGAGGCAGAAAGCAAGAAATCAACCCCCAGGGGGGATGACCATGCCAAAGTCCCTTCTTCTCCACTCTCCTCTTAGGATTTTGGGCACAGATGCACAAGAGTCTAGCATGAATTTGAATCCTCTTGAGTCTGGGACTTTGAACCAGGGCCTACTAAGTAGGAGTCCAAGGATGTGACCATTTCGCCATCTGTTGGTCCCAAGCCTAAAGTTTTCTAACGAAGGCTTATTCCTTCCCCTCCTGTCAAAGATCACAGAGACAGAGATAGAAAGCGAGAAGGCACCCCCCCAGGGGGGATGACCACGCTGCAATCCCTTCTTCTCCATTCTCCTTTCGGGATCTTGGGCACGCACGCACACGCGCCCGGTGTGAGTTTAAGCCACCGGGTCTGGGACTCGAACCGCGGTCAACTACATGGGAGTCCAGCAACATAGCCATTACACTAACTGCTGGTCCCAGATCACAAATCCTTTTATGAGTTCTCATGACACTGCTGGCCTTGACTTTCTACCTACTTCTAAGAAATCAGGAACAGCCAGATGAAACTGGCTACACAGACCTCTCAGTGAGGGCAGGAATGTGATTACAAGTGATGCAAAAACGTCTAGCCTAAAGCAAATACAAAGTAGGGAACAGGCTAACGCATCAGTGGGCGAGAATTAGAAGTAAGGGGCTCAGACCCATTCTTCTTGGGGTTGCTTAGAGGGCAGAAGAGTTCAACTGTTCATAGTATTAATAAAAGGGGTTGCTTGTCAATGGACTTCCACGTTACCAGCAATGTCCAGTGAGCGAATAGTAAGAGCAATAGCAACTACTAAGCGTGTGCCCACATAGGGCATGTTATCTCCTTTACTTCTCATGGGACCTTCGTGAGTTAAATACTTTTCCAAAGATTACACAGAAAAAGGCAGAGCTGGGATTCGGATTCAAATGTGACAGATGCTGCAGTCCATTCTCTTGGCCACTAAACACTGCTGATGATGTGGTATCTGTTGTTAATGAGAGCCTTAAGAATGCATACAAACAGTTGGCTTGGCCACAGTAATGTGTTTCGGCTGGAAAGAGAGAGAGAGAGGAGGAAGAGAATGTGTTTTTCTTACTTTAGTAACTAGCCCCGGGTCATACAGCTAGTGAGCAGTGCTGCTGATTGGCTTCATCAATTATGCGATCGCCCATCACTCTGCACTGCTTTCTACAGCATATTCCTAAGAAAAGCAAGTAGAACATCATCAAAGATTACTTAACTAGCTCAATGCTGAGGACTGTTATAGCTAGATGAACCCAAGGGAAGAGTTTTCCAGCAGAAGGTAGAGTGAGTTAGACTGAAAACTCAAGATCTATACAGTCAGATGGTCAGCAAGTTTCACTCTAACACAGAATGAAATACGAACAGATCAAAGTTATCCTAATTTTTCATCTATGTCTCTTTGATACTTAGGCCAGCACATGACAGAATGAAACCTTAATAAAAGATTGCTAAATAAATGAATAACCACTAGCACCAACAATAACTGATCCAAATCTGATGGTGGAATGTCTGCTTTCAGATGGGAGGTCGGTCATGACTGGAACGACAGTAAAATCTCGCTGGGCTGTCTGAGGGAAACTGACTCAGAGAAATCACCATGGATGTTCTACAGAGGCTGGGGCAGAGATTCCGCAACTGCTCAAGCTCCATAAAAGGCAATGATGTTTAAGGCACATGCAAACATCTACCAGGAAGGACTCAGCCGCGGGAGCAAACTGAGTGAGATCTGTGTACGGGGCTGAAGATGGGAAGACAAACAGGCCCAGCCACGTATCCACAGGGAGCTCGGAAATCTAGTAGGACGATGGGTTCTGGAGGAAGAGACGGCAGGGCCCTGTGGGTCAATGTCAGACTCAAGCTTGCATTTCCCACTGTGCCAGTTACTAGCCTAGTTCCAGCTCTTCTTGAACCTCAGTTTCTACACCTCTAAAATGAAGACGTAATACCTCATGGGTTGTTGAGAGGATAGAATGAAACAGATTTTATGAAAGTGGTACTTCCTGCCCTTCCTGATAGCCATCTAACCACAGCCAGGAATACTGAAAACCTGCCAACGTAATGAACAGCCCCTCCTCATTTCTACTCTCCGGGTGGCAATGAACTGCTTATCACAACTGAAGAACATCACGTGGCACGGATCACTACAATTTAAGAATGAGCTTTTTCTCCAAAGTGAGATTAGTAGATTAAACTGCACAAACATTTAAAAAGACTCTTGGCATGTACTTTATCATCTCCATACCTGCTTGTTATGTTTTCCATCACAATCTTTGCATCTTTAAGAATTAAAAATATCTAGTTCGAAAGGGCAAACAGTACTTGTTTCATTATGCACTCCTTTGACTAGCATTAAGACGGAATTCCTTCATACGTACTGCTGTTTCCTACGTTCCTTTTTCATGCAGAGAACATCCCCTGATATCTTTATACATTAAAGTTGGTGTTTCGAAACAGTAACTGATAACTATTTCTCTAAAAATAAACTTTTAAAATCTTGCAATATCCGAGTCAGTCTGAAGGAGCAAAAAATAAGTTTCTGGGGGGTACCCATAGAATGGTGCAGGCCACCACAAGACAAGGTAAACTATTTTGGGTAAATGATGATGTACAAGCATCTATTACACATATTTGGGCAAAATTCCAGAGCTGGTTATATAACGCCATTTGCCTTCTGGGCCACAAAACCAGAAAGCCTAACAAGTGGGCACAAGAAGTGAACAGTCACACTTACTGTGGCATGCGAAATGGTCAGGATCCCATTCTTGACGGCACACTTCCTTCTCTGCCATACTTTCCGGATCCTAAGGAACAAGTCAAACACAACTGTGTAGAGTGCCCGCTTCGCTCTGGGACATGCAATGACATAGCGTGATCCACAACAGTTGCAAAAACAAACCAACCAAAACCCACACCCAAATTGAAAACACCCAACCTCCCCCTTAAAAACAAAATTCTCATTAGCATTTAGTATGTTAGGCGGAAGGTAATTCTACTACAGTAGGCAAGTACAAAGACACACACAATAGCACTATTTTTGACAGTGAAAACGCAAAATAGCAGCAATAAAAATCTAATAGCACGAGACTGAATAAAGGAATTATAGTTAACACCCTGATAAAAGTGTTCCTCCCAGAGAAGGGGCCCAGACCTGCATTAAGGGTGATGCTAAGGAGTTTTTAAACCATATCTGTTCATCTTTTACAAGGAGGCTGTATTAAACAATTATTTCTGTGATTAATACTAGATCTCTAAAAACCTAGGGCTCAAAAATGAATCATCATTTTCAGCAACTCATACATCTTCCCTTTAGGAGTTTTCCAGAGCAAAGACAGTTTCTGATGTCTCAGAGCTCCTGAGAGAACTACTCGTGATTCACGGTGGAAAGTCAATGCGGTCACACTGCTCACTAGTAGTTGAGAGGGATACACGCTTAGAATGCGTGACTTGATGGTCCTGGTGGGTGGTACATGGTAAAGAGAACTAATTTCAACTTGGAAGAGTTTGGTGTGGACGTGTGTAGAGCCACAGGCAGAGGCAAAAGTCTCCAAGTATGACAGCTCTGCACGCGTGCAAATGGGTATAAATGCAGTAGCTGAGATCCTTTCCTTCCAGTGGGTTACTGCAACTGGGCAGGGAACAGGCATCCCTAGGCCAGAGGAGGCCTCACAGGCCACCTGCAGCCACAGCACAAAGGACAGAGAAGCTATGTGGCTTCCTCAGGCATTTAAAGCAATGCCCTCCTGAGTTTCTCTTTTCCATCTTAAATTAACCCTGTAAGAAAACTGTCACAAGTTAAAAACCAATTCTAAATGTGGATAATTCTGTCTTATGTTCCTGCAGCCAGTAGAAACATAGTTCCAAAGCACCCTTCACTGGGGAAAGAATCTGACACCATCTGACCAAATGAAAATTGAGCACACTGTGCTCAAAATGCTGGCCTCCTTGGGAAGTAATTTAACATCACTAATTGATAAACTGCCTTCAAATTACAGCTAAATTGCATACTTCTTCTGAAGTACTGATGCTGTCAAAAAGTCACACCTGCACTTGGTTAACGTAACTGGCTTTCTCAAAGTTGCCTGCATCCCATCTTACCCTCAATGGAAGCCTTTTAATATAGGTGAGGTAGTCCCTGTATGCACTAATCCAAAACCAGCACGGTTTTCTCCTAGCAACACATATTAAAATATCAAACAACCAACCTAACAACCAAACTATTCACCCTGGAGAAAACGGTTCCTATTCAGCTCATTCATTTTTTTAAGTCATTACTCATTCGTTTTTCTTACACATATGCACTAAGGATACACAAAACAAACAAACAAACACATTTTCTTGCACTGCTAGGAAAGCCAAGGAAGTAATCTTCCTGGCTAAAAGAGCTTGCTAACAAGGACTTGCCAGAACTTGCCAGAGGAAGGGGAACAATCTTAAGACACCCTTGTGCACAGCAGAGAGCAGCAGCAACTGAGCTTCTTGAACACTTGGGTTGCTTTTAGTCCTGAGACTCGGCTTTTATTCCTGTAGACTAACCTCAACAGCTGTGATCTCCCCTCTCTAACAGCTTTACGGATCCTTGTCTGTGCAGTTCCTGAATGGACATACCACACACTCTCACCAGCAGGTGTTCACAAAGAATGCCACACAGAAGCACTGATTACACCATGCCAGAATCTCAGAATTCCAAAAAGGGAATTCCCCTAGAAGACAGTAATCTTCTAGAACTAAATGAATACCAACTTTGATGCTGGATCACTTGGGCTTCTACCCCAGTGCCATCGCTCCACGCTAAGTTCTCTGCCCACGCTGCTTGACCTCTTAGAGACTCACTTTCCTTACCTGTCTCATGAGGTTAATAATGTCTACTTTCTGGTACTATGTTGAGAGAGTACATGTAAAACAACTGCTCTCTAGCCTCTCAAAGAAGTGTCTTTGGGCCATAAAGTTTTAAAATTATTTTTAAAAGCTTTGAACTGTTTTTAAAATTATGTAACAATCTTTTAGAAGTAACAGGAATATTCCAAAAGTACTAATGCAACACATGACAAGAACAGTCATTGTTAGCGAACAGTCTCCTTCGTGTATACGCCTTTTGATTTTTCCCTCTCACAGGAAGTAATCACAAACAACTCTGGTTATTGTTATTTGACTCTGTTGCCTGCACAGTTATTAGGAGGTTGGATCATGTGACTTTCAAGCTCTAAGACCCATCAGTTCTATCCTTATCTTTCCAGTAAACTGCAGTTAAGATGAGGTGAGGACCACATCTCACTTCAAGCATCTATGAGACTGCCGCAACACTGGAGTGTTTCATCAGTGTGTATGGAACGAACATGTGAAGAGGGGAGTCAAGGAGTGAGTTTCTGCCAATTTATGTCTTGCCCATCCAAGGGCAGTCAACGGCAGAGATGGTCCCTTTGAAATATGAAGGGGGAGACACCCTGGCATTGTGTTAGAAGACCCTGCCTGGTTCAAACTGGACTCTCATACTTACTCCGCTTATCATCTTAGACGAGATAATCTTTCTGAAAAAGGTGTCTAATGAGAGGTACCTGGCAGTATGCATGCACAGAGCAGATGATGTTCACCAGAGGACTGTTTCCTTGAACATTTGAGAGTTTGAAGTAAACAATACCTGGGAACAGACTTATGTCAACTTATACCGATGTTCCTTGGGCATGTAAACATGGACCACTTAGATACAGGCATTCCTAATTATAAAATAATCCTTGTGACTTCAGTTGAGTAGTGTTAAAAATGGACTGTTCTATATGTTTCAAAAGATATGTAATCATGGGGACCAGCTGTGGCGTGTGGTTAAGGCATTAGACTCCTACATGGCTGACTGTGGTTTGAGTCCTGGGCCCAGCAGCTTGAAAATCATGCTGGGTGCATGTGTGGGTATGCCCAAAATCCTGAGAGAATGGAGAAGTTATTGAGACATGGCCACGCCCTGGGGAGAGCATGTATTTGAGTGATTTCTCACTTTACTTCTGTCTCTCTCTTTCCAGTGAGTACATGCACCCTATGGCAACACCTTAAAAATAATAATAGGGGCCAGCAGGTGGCATGGTGGAGAAAGGCACTGGATTCCCACATGGCCAACAGTAGTTCGATTCCTGGACCTAGTGGCTTGCTTTCTTGCTTTCTCTTTCTCTGCTTCTCTCGCCATCCGAATTAAAAAACAACAAATGGAATAAAATAATTCTTTAAATTAATAATAAAAGATACATAATCCATAATCACACAATCACAACAGAGAACATTAACTTTCTTTTTAATGGAAGAATAATAGGTCACCATATTTCCAAGAGATTTCTGTACCAGAGATAGTCACAAAAAGAAAAAAGTGCTGAGCCTAAGGCTTTCCTGCAAAATAAACTATGGAATTAATACTTATGTACATCGATCCCATGCAGTTTGGGCTAGAATTCGGTCACTGTGTCCGTTAAGAAGAGCCCAGTTTAGAGTTGTGATTTAGGCTGGCGTTTCCTTCTGATTTTAGCAGGATTTACTCAATTCACTGACTCACAATGAGCCAGGAGCTCTGCCAAGTGGTGATGCAGCCTTGTTTTCTTCACACCCCACCTCAGCAAATCCTGCTGGCCCTACCTTCATGTCCAGCATCTGAGCACTTGATCTCAACTCCACTATGTTCCTTTGATCCCACCATCATCTCTCCTGTGGGCTTCTGCAGCAGCCTCCTAGCTTTCTCCCTGCTCCTGTTCTGACACCCACAGCAGCCAGAAAAAACCTTTCATAGCATGTCAGGCTCGTCGCTCTTCTGCTCAAAGTCCTCCATTGGCTCCCCATCTCCAAAGTCCCCTAACAGCTGGCTCCCTCACACCTTATCTCCTGCGACCCCTAGCTCGCTCACTCCACTCCAGCCATGCATGACTCCTGCTATTCATCATCTTGGGAAGTAGGATCCTGGTCATTGGGCATTAATAAAACAGTAAGTAAAACAGAGTTATCCCAGAAACTTGTAAGAAAAACATGTGTAATTACAACAGAAAAATTAAAACAGAACTTGTACATAGCTTAAATGAAGCTTGTATTCCTCCATCAAAAGAAAAGTCCCTATGCTTTTCTGTGAGTAATCATGTGAAATGACATGTTTCTTTTTTTTGGAGAGGTTTTTGCTATAGGGCATGTATGCTCGCCAGAAAGACAGAGACAGAGAGGCAGCGGGAAATCACTCCCTGGGGGGGATGGTCACACTGCAATCCCTTCTCCTCCATTCTCCTCTTGGGATCTTGGGCATGCATGCACATGCGCCCGGTGTGAGTTTAAGCCAGAGGGTCCAGGACCTGAACCATGGTCAACTACATGCGAGTCCAGTGACATAGCCATTACACCAACTGCTGGTCCTGACACATTTCTTTCGAAGCAGAAGTATAGAAGCACATATATAGAAGCAATGAGAAAACAAAAAGCTTTTTTTAAAAACAGGATGACAATCAGCAATCAGCCAAGATTTCACTTATGCACTTGTTTGAGACAGAATCAGCTGATGAAGCAGCAGAAAGCAAGCCACTGCGGCAGGTGGGGGCGGGGGCGGGGGAGGCGTCACTTGAGGCTGGTGAGCAGGGCAGGGTGAAGAGCCGCATCTTCGTGCCTGAGATGGACATCACGTGCTTTATCACTTTTTTTTTTAAAGTCACTCTCAGTGTTAAGGAGAGCTGAACTGAAGAGACCAAGGAGGTGGCTTACTAATATGGCACAGGACAGATGACAGTGGCTCAGCCAAGGGCAGGGACCGCATGGACAGCGAGAAGTGTATTATTTTTCAAGTTAGATGTGAAAGAGCTGTGTCAGGCTGGCTGTTAGGAAGAAGAGAGCAGTCTAGCGGGCCCTAAGGCTGGGGTGTCGGTGGTTAGCGGGCATCCTCAGGCAGAGAAAACTGCAACAAATAAAAGCAGAGAAGTGGGTGGGTATGAGGTTGGCATTTGCTTGCTTCACGTGCTACTCTGTATATGCCTTCCTAACATTTCAAATCAGAGGTGCCACTGAGGGGTCACAGAACAATCACTGCTTCCCCTGAGGACAGCAGGGGAGGTCTCAGCCTTCTGTGAAGGAAACCAGGGTGCTAAAGCGAGTGCATCAGGAACCTTTTACGTGCGTGTTCCCTTTTGAGAGGCTGGGCAAAGTTCCCTGTAAGCATGCTCACCATCGCTAGGGCACTCGGGTGGGCTCATACGTACCCATCACTCTTCTTTAGCAGGTACCCCTTCTTTTCACTGCCATATTCCTTATTGCCCTGGAGCTGATGCATGCTGTATCCTCCTTGCCGGCTCTGAGAGTCCTAGAAGAGAAATCACAGACTAAACGAAAGCTGGAGATACTCCTCAAATCTGTACCTCTTTCTGCCACTGAGTCTTTCACTCATTGGTCAGGTCTAGGAGGACCATGGAACTCCAAGAGCTGGCAAGTCTCTGCTTTACTTTAGAGGAGGAAATAGGGGAGGCACACAATTGCCAGAGTCGCAAAGCAAGTCTGGGGTCCGGGTCTCTTCCTTTGGGTTCGGAACACTGGAAAATGGAAGATGACAAACCAAGCCCTTGCAATCTGAAGGGGTTCCTCCCTAAGGCAGCACTTTTTCTCCCTTCACAGAGTCTGCTCAACATCCCCAACAAAGGGGCACCTTTTGAGTGAGGGATTCATAATGCTGATAACGTTCTTGTTTTATAAATAACTAGCACTCTGTAAAATTTAATTATGAACATACTTTAATTTTAAAAATTTTTGTAGAGGGTGTATTTGCATGAGAGAGAGAAAAAGCGAAAGAAAAAAAAAGAGAGAGAGGGGCTGGCAGGTGGTTAAGGCAGTGGATTCCCACATGGCTGACTGCAGTTTGATTCCTGGACCTGGCAGCTTGCTTTCTCACTTTCCTCTTTCTTTCTCTCTCTCTCTCTCTCTCTGGTCGACTAAAAAAACAAACAAACAAACAAAGACAATGAATAAAATACATTTTAAAGAGAGAGAGAGGAGGAGGGATGCCATATTCCTTATTGCCCTGGAGCTGATGCATGCTGTATCCTCCTTGCCGGCTCTGAGAGTCCTAGAAGAGAAATCACAGACTAAACGAAAGCTGGAGATACTCCTCAAATCTGTACCTCTTTCTGCCACTGAGTCTTTCACTCATTGGTCAGGTCTAGGAGGACCATGGAACTCCAAGAGCTGGCAAGTCTCTGCTTTACTTTAGAGGAGGAAATAGGGGAGGCACACAATTGCCAGAGTCGCAAAGCAAGTCTGGGGTCCGGGTCTCTTCCTTTGGGTTCGGAACACTGGAAAATGGAAGATGACAAACCAAGCCCTTGCAATCTGAAGGGGTTCCTCCCTAAGGCAGCACTTTTTCTCCCTTCACAGAGTCTGCTCAACATCCCCAACAAAGGGGCACCTTTTGAGTGAGGGATTCATAATGCTGATAACGTTCTTGTTTTATAAATAACTAGCACTCTGTAAAATTTAATTATGAACATACTTTAATTTTAAAAATTTTTGTAGAGGGTGTATTTGCATGAGAGAGAGAAAAAGCGAAAGAAAAAAAAAGAGAGAGAGGGGCTGGCAGGTGGTTAAGGCAGTGGATTCCCACATGGCTGACTGCAGTTTGATTCCTGGACCTGGCAGCTTGCTTTCTCACTTTCCTCTTTCTTTCTCTCTCTCTCTCTCTCTGGTCGACTAAAAAAACAAACAAACAAACAAAGACAATGAATAAAATACATTTTAAAGAGAGAGAGAGGAGGAGGGAAGGAAGAGAGAGAATAACCCTTAACAAGGCCTGGTTACCCATAATCCTTTTTCCTCTATTTATCTATCCTGTCAGGATCCTGAGCATGCACACATGTATCCAGAGTGTTTTTTTAAGTTTCCAGGGCTGGGATTCAAATCATGGCTGGCCATGTGGGATCTACCTCCCTTTGCACAGTGCTTAATCGCTGTGCTGTGCAGCTGGCCCCGTACTTTGAGTTTAAAAAGCCAGTTCTATGGCAATGAAAGCACAGGACATGGTGAAGAGGGGGACACTAGTCAAACCAATCCCATGAATGCAAACAAGCTTGTTCTAGCACTAGCATGCCATGGGACTTAACCAGCCTCTAAAGACAGCATGAAAGAACCTTTACATTACAAAAATATAAGAAAATAAGTGAACAATGTTGAGATGTAAAATGGTAACATAGGTCTTTCGACATATAAAGAGGACAAAACATTCCCACAAAAAAGAATTGACTTACTCTCCTAGACTTCGATCAGGAAGGGCAAAAGCAACAGAGAAAAAGGCAGAACATTTAAAAACAGAGTTAATTTAGTTGAAAATTGTATTGCTTATAACTTACGTACTTTATATAACACATGCAGAAAACATCATCGTAAAGATAATTAATACCAGAAAGAGCACACGCACACACATCCATGTGCACGCCCCTTGAGAATCATAATAAACTTTGAGTGAAGGGTGTAACACATCTCTGCATCTACCAGGTGTTATTTCAGGTCACGCTGAGTAAGAAAAGAACTCTAGTCAATGGAAAAGCACAAGGTACACATTTCATCAAGATAAAATGGTTGGCAGACCTCAAGTGTGTAGGCGCAGGTCACCACCACCTTAAGTGAAACCCCAAACTGATTACTCGAAAAATCTAGTAAGAGCCACAGATTGTAGGAATATGTTTTTTTGTTTTCCCATATGAAGAGGACATGATAGATATTGCCAGTTCATAAGCAACACCTAAGACGTGATTGCTCAGAGGTGGGACGCTCAGTCCAACACTGGCTATTTATTGAGGACCGTGTACAGCATACCTTTAAAGCCAGAAGGGCTTCTTTCTGAGAGTCAGGATTCCTTTTGGACTCGATACAAATTAATGCTAGTAAAATAGCTGAAGGGAAATCTCAAGGAAAATGCACTTCTGGAAGGCTAGTCTCCATGTGATAAACTCTATTTAAAAACATGTGCTACAGACCTCCTAAAGCCAGGTTTTGAGAGCCCTGAAGACACGACCCTGGCTTTGAGATGAATGCTCATGCTCAGCTCACATCACTCTAGTGCTCTATGGTGCTCTCCCCAAAGGTAACTGAAAACGTCCAGGCAAGCCGACTTACATTAACAAGGTTACAAACTCAAGTTCTCTTAAGTTTTTTTTTTTTTTTTTAAATTTCATTTTCTTTTATACATTCAATCACATTATTATTTGGCTTACAAAATGGATATTTCAACAGGTGAACATTTCTCCCTAGTACAGTTGATAAAACTGCAAAATATCTTCAGATAATATCCCATTTCTTTGTGCCATTAATGCTTTGCCTCCCTATTTTTCTTCTAAATGTCCTTCCTCAGACCCTCCTCTTTCACACACACTAGATCTGGTATTTACATCTATATACTGTGTTTCTATATCCTTCAGTCAATCAGTCTCAGTCACAGAGTGCAGACACTCGGTACATATAAAGTGGGGACATACAATGCCTCTCCTCCATAGCCTGGCTTGCTTCACTCAGGAGTAAACCTTCCATATTCATCCACTTCCTGTCAAAAGCCAGGGTTTTTTTTTTTTTTTTTTAATGGCTGAAAAGTATTCTATTGAGTATATGTGCTACAGTTCTTTCTTAATTGGAACAATCTGTCTCTTATAGGCCAGCTTTTTTTCCACCTGAAACATCTAATTGGACAAGGTAAAGATAAATAACCTAGGGAGGAGGTGGAGCAGCGACTGGACCGAGATCTAGGACATTCCTGCAAAATCCCCCCATGTGTTTCTGTTCAATCAGGGCCCACAGCCTTGGAATGCCATGGCAATTTGGCTAAGTCCTTTCTGATAGGTATTTTCTCATGCTTTCTGGAGGGAGATGGGACGGAGGGACCATGTTAAATGTCACAGGCCAAAAGAGCAGCTTCCCTTCTGCCAGCACCTACAGTATAACAGTAAAGGGAGGAGGTTTCTGAAGTAGCAATGTGTACAGAATCCTAGTAAAGAACAAGTAGGACTGGGATCAGCAGTTAGCGTAATGGCTATGTCGCTGGACTCCCATGTAGTCAACCGTGGTTCGAGTCCCAGACCCGGAAGCTTAAACTCATGCCGGGCGCATGTGCGTGCGTGCCCAAGATCATGAGAAAGGAAGAGTGAAGAATCAGGGAGGAAGAGTGAATGGGATAAAACAAGAGGCAGGGATACAGGAAATCTCCAGTTCTCTGTCCTAATACAATGAAATTATACGAGAATTACTCAACTATGGATTTGGACTCAGGAATCTTTGCCCATATTGATATCTCCAAAACATTAAAAACAATAACATTTTCAAAATTTTTATTCTTTGGGACCAGCAGTTAGCAAAATGGCTATGTCACTGGACTCCCACGTAGTCAACCACAGTTCGAGTCCTGGACCTGACAGCTTAAACTCATGCCGGGTGTGTGTGCGTGCGTGCCCAAGATCCCGAGAGGGGAATGGAGGAGAAGGGATTGCAGCATGGCCATCCCCCCTGGGGGGTGATTTCTCACTTTCTGTCTGTCTCTCTCTGTCTTCCTGGCAAGTGCACAAGCCCTTTAGCAAAACAAAAACCAAAAAACAAAAAACCTCCCCCCAAATTTTTATTCTTTCATATATTTAAGGTTTCTGTCATGGGTCATATGCACTTCCTAGAAAGACACAGAAGGAGATAGAGAGAGGGAGATGAGAAATTGCCTCTTCTCCCGGTGGGGGAGATGGCCACACTACAATCCCTTCTCCTCCATTCTTCTTTCACAATTTTGGGTATGCCTGCACAGGTGCCTGGCAGGATTTTTAAGCTACTAAGTCCAGGACTCGAACCATGGTCAGCCATGTGGGAACCCAGCATCTTAACCACCAAGCCTCCTGCTGATGCAAATATTAATTTCTTGTAAGTTTTTTTTTTTTTTTTAAATTTCATTTTCTTTTATACATTCAATCACATTATTATTTGGCTTACAAAATGGATATTTCAACAGGTGAACATTTCTCCCTAGTACAGTTGATAAAACTGCAAAATATCTTCAGATAATATCCCATTTCTTTGTGCCATTAATGCTTTGCCTCCCTATTTTTCTTCTAAATGTCCTTCCTCAGACCCTCCTCTTTCACACACACTAGATCTGGTATTTACATCTATATACTGTGTTTCTATATCCTTCAGTCAATCAGTCTCAGTCACAGAGTGCAGACACTCGGTACATATAAAGTGGGGACATACAATGCCTCTCCTCCATAGCCTGGCTTGCTTCACTCAGGAGTAAACCTTCCATATTCATCCACTTCCTGTCAAAAGCCAGGGTTTTTTTTTTTTTAA